CTTATTTATTTTCAGTTCTAATTTTGTAGGCTGGTAGGCACGATTGATTTTATATTTTTTGGTCCGTTGGCGTTACGTTCCATGAGGACATGACTACTAGTGGCGCCGCGGCCGACCCTGGTGGCAGGATATTGAACTAGTGTGTTTACGGCAGTGTTGTTGTCAGAAGTAAAATTTTGTGTTTGCGCGTGCGCCGTGTGCCATGTAGTCATAAATCATCATTTGCTGGTCAATATTTTGGTGCAGAATTTAATTCTTTACATGACGGTATTAAAAATAGTTGTTAAGCTTTGAGCATGTCGTCGCCAAAGTAATTAAATCAGAGCAATGTCAAGAGGGTTGCCACGTGTAAACTCAATTGCCGCGCGAAGCGCCCACGCGGAACATTCAAATTACGCAGCACCAGGTCGTTAAAATATCATATCATTCATTGCTAGGGCGGATAATGATAGACAATTTAATTCCCCGTTTGATGGTGTTACGCATCTCCTGGTGTGATTTAGTATGTCGTCGCGAATTTCAGTTAAACTAATGGATATCACGGATGTCACCTGCGCGCAGGACGTCCGTGATGTGGCGTGCGCGTATTGTCCTTGTCAGTGACAGGACAGTCGTGCGCAGGTCGACGCTTGTCTACAAGCTTTAACATTCATGCATAAATGCAGAAATGTATATGCGTGAATGGTTTTACGCATAAACATGAAAACGGTCAGGTGCAAATGTGTTTGCGCATAAACGTATGTATTGATGTGAGCTGCTTCACTACAAGGATAACGGGGCCCTGGCATCAGCAGCTGATTCAGCAGAACCAGAGAATGTGAAAATTAAAATATGTTCGGCATAGTCACTGCACTGTGCTGCCCCCCCCCTCCCCCCTTTGCAAAACGTGTCCGAATCGGTCACGGCGCCGCGTCTGTCTGCGCAGAAAATTGAAGGTCTTATTTCATCAATATGGCGCTTAGAATATAGCAAGTGTAACTCAGCACAACCGTAGAATCAACAGACATAGCAAAAATCCAGGTTCTGAACGAAAACCAATAAAAATAACGAGGTTTCTTTATTGCACACAAATTTGAAGGCCAACCATAACAGTTGGCGGCGGTGCCGCCGATACCACGACGACCCGCCTACGCGCGAGGGCGACACCACGGCTTGGGTGGCTGTCCAGCCCGGTCGCACCATCTTCCATGCGGCTGGGTCATGGCCGCGTCTCCGTAGAGGCAGCGCTTCCTCGCAGCGTTCTAGAAAGTCTGCCTGCGATGTACAGCCGCCACGGCACACTCACGCATTGGACGCGCCCTTCTTTGACCCACAGAGCAGGTGATTCAGGACCCTTGCTCGCCTCAAAAGGATCTGCTTTGGGGCCTGTTTGAAGTTTGCTGCACTGAAATATGTTGAGGTCACGAAATGATTTAGTTTTAATTCATTTTGTTGTTCAAAGGTACCTAGGCGACCCACACGTGAATTAATTTCATGACAGTGGTGGCCAAGAATACGGAGATAGGGTAAGGGCTCCAGTTCTGCGCTTATGCCACATGGTCACTACCAGCTCATACCCATGTTGTCTCCTTTTCTTTCATCACATCACCCTCCATCACATACTCCTTGTCCTTTCTCATCTTCCCCACCCTTACAGTGCACTCAGAAGGCACTACTTATTGGTATCTCCCACTGCACTAACACAACGCACATGCCATCCTTGCTGGTGTGTCTCACTATTATTAGGATAGTGTCCAACTTTTGACCACAAAGTAATGAAGGTCTTTAAACAGAACTGGCACACTGACAGTACACCTTGTTTTGCCGAACAGGAAAACAAAGAGCCTTGAAGATTTTGGTGTTAAAGACTTGGCAACGAGAGCAAGAGATGATTGATAACTGTATTCTGAGGTGTCCCATAGAACTTCTGGGTGCTGATCTTCATCTGAAAAGGATGGAAAATGGTTCAGGAAAAAAACAAGCATTAAATGAACATCACTCAGTCACTCTGTACCACATGAGCTGTGAGATGAAAATGGTAGTCATGTTTATGGTCATGCAGGAGAGCAACTGAAATGCAGTGGAACATGCAATTGACTTGGTATTATGCTCTGTCCATTATAACATCATTGAAAGAATGAAGTTCATAAAATTGAAGGAATTAAGAAATGAATAGGGTTTGTCATCAATAAAATCCAACAGAGTGAAAACTGGAAATGTCAAAACACATGGTGATACTTTTGCCATGATACACATGATACCTGCTTTTAATTGTCTTTAAAAAAATTGGAAGTTCCCATGGATAATCAAACACCAACATAGGGTTGTGTACTGGCCCAGAAGAAATGTAGCATTCGGTTGGGTTGGGAAATGCAAGCCTGACACAAGGCTCAGAAGCATGATCATTACAAGGACATTCAGTGGGCAATAGTCCCTCAAAAGAGACCAACTTCATCCTACTGCAATGTAGCATCCAGCAAAATGTCAACATACATTGTACAGTGGTACCAAAGGTGCTCGAATGAATAAGGCCTTGTCAAACAGCTGATGAGGTCAACAATGCAGTCAGCAAAAGGCATCTGCTG